AATAATAAAAATAAATTATTTTAAAAAATTTTATTATATTTAATTTTTTATAAAAAAATATTATAATAAATTATGAATTATAATTCAAGACACGAATTCAATTAGACGAATATTAGTGGGTCGCTCTCAGTTTATGCTCTTTTTTATTTGTTTATTATTTATTATATCGCATTGCCTTTTTTGTATTGTGAGTTTGCCTTTTTTGGTCGGATGGATGGATTGTTGAGCTGGAGAAAGAGGGGATAGAGAGAGAGAGAGAGAGAGGGAGCTAACCTCACTTCTTCTCACTCCACAGCATAAAATGAACTGAGGAGAGAGAAATAGAATATGGATCCTTAACTTGTTCAACTCCTCATCTGTGCATCTCTATCTTTCTCTGTTTTCTTTCTTTCTCTCAACCCTTAACCACACTTTTTCCCTACCCATCTCCTTTTCTCTCTCTTTTCCAAGGTAGTATTCGTCATTCTTATAATTTAGCCACCCTCAACTCAACAAGCTTCCTTTTTTTTTTGTTTTTTTGTTTTGCCTTTCAAAATATTCTCTCTTCTAGTTCTCTGGATTCTTGGGGTTTTTCTTTGGCTCTTCTTCCTTGAGCTGTAGAGAACAGATTCTCCTATAGTGTTGTTTTAGCCAACCCACCAAGCTACTTTTTCCATTACTATGCCTTGGGGTTTCTCCCACTTATTCTCAATCATGGGTAGGATTCTGTTTCCATAAAAAAAATAAAAATAAAAAAGAGAAAAAGAAAATCTTTGATTGTTTAGCTTTGTTAAGTGGTAGCTTGAATTTATCATCAACATGGGAAAGTTGAGTTCGGTAGGATTGTTATTATTATCAATAATGGTAATATTGTCATCAATATTATCATTAATTGTGGGGAGAGTGAGTGGAATAGGTGCAAACTGGGGGACACAAGCAAGCCACCCTTTGCCTCCAGACATAGTGGTGAGGTTGCTGAAGGAAAATGGTTTCCAAAAAGTGAAGCTTTTTGATGCTGATTACGACACTCTAAGGGCTCTTGGTAGATCTGGGATTGAAGTCATGGTTGGTATTCCAAATGACATGCTTTCTTCTCTTGCCTCCAGTGTCAAGGCTGCTGAGAAATGGGTTTCCAAGAATGTCTCTACTCATATCTCCTCCAATAATGTTAACATCAGGTGTCACTTTTTTCTTTGTTGTTGTTGTTGTTTTTTTTTTTTTTTTTTTTTTTTTTTTTTTTGGAATTGGTTATGTGCTACAATTTGTTAGATCTGAGATGGGCTGGCTTTACATTGAACTATTTTCTTCTTATTGTGTTTGGTTCTCAAGTCAAATTTTTATAAATCATAATATTTTATTGGTTTTGGAACTTTGAAGCAAAAAGACCCACACTTGAGCTACTTATTAAACTGCTTATAGCTTCTTTCAACCCTTAACCCAACTTTTTCTTTAATCTGCTTTTTCTCGTCTTTTCCATGGAATTATTTGGACTCTCATTTCTCTTCGTTACTTATCATGATTGTCAAACAATCATGATTGTCAAACAATTATGCTTAGTGTCGGGTAAACTGTTTAGGAAATATAGCTGTTGGTTTTAGTGGAAGTCGAGATTTGGAGTTTTCTCTTTCATATGCATTTGAAACTGAAATGCCTACACTTGAACAACTTGAATTGAAAGTACTTAGAACTTTTCAAATGACAATCTGATATATAGAGCTTTTCAAATGACAATCTGATATATAGAGCTTTTCAAATGACAATCTGATATATAGAGCTTTTCAAATGACAATCTGATATATTGTTGTCCTTTACTTATCATGTACTTGCTTTTGAAAGTGTAGTAGTCATGGCTGACATTGACAAATGACAATGCAAATCTTCAGAGGTTTTCTGTTGGGGTTTAAGATTTTATGCATTCCATTACTCGGAATTTCAGATCTATGTGCGCAGAATTAAGAACCAAATTTTTCTGAAACATGATCGCGGCATACTCTGCATAACTCTTTCACTCATTTTCTACTTTTCTTTTGGTTTGGTATAGAGTATTTGAAACCAATGTGGGTTTAGTTTGGGGTTCTGATTGTTCTGCATTTGGGAGAAGTTCTACTTTAACTAGAAGTAGACGCAGAAGCTCTTTTTAGGAACTTTTACCAAATTTATTACTGGCTATATGTTTTTAACCAAAGGACTTTTGGAGCCTCAAAAAGCAGTACTAAACTGGCCCATACTACTATTATCATCTACTTTTTTGTTGGTGTGTAATTGAGATTGGCTATGGAAGCAAAACTTTCATTTGTACGACATGATTGGATTAAATGGTGATACATAGTATACTTCCATACGCTCTTTGGAGCCTACAAAGACAATGCGAAACTGGCTCGTGGTACTAAAATCGTATGCGCCGTTTGACCAAAGAGGGGGATTTTTCATTTGTATAATCTGCTTGCAATACATGGACATTTACAGTACTTTGATACGCTCTTCTATGATTCTACAGATATGTCGCCGTTGGAAATGAACCCTTCTTGGAAACGTACAACGGAACTTTCCTCAAGACAACCTACCCTGCTCTGCAGAACATCCAATCTGCACTGATAAAAGCCGGACTCAGCAGCCAAGTGAAGGCGACTGTCCCCCTAAACGCAGATGTCTATGAGAGTGCAAGTGGTGTCCCTTCTGGAGGCGACTTCCGAGCTGACATCCATGATCTAATGGTTGCGATCGTCAAGTTCTTGAGCGACAATGGTGCCCCATTCACAGTGAATATTTACCCCTTTATAAGCCTCTACTCAGATCCTAACTTCCCCGTTGAGTATGCATTCTTTGATGGCAATGCCCAGCCCATCGCAGATACGAAGGCGACCTATTACAACATGTTTGATGCGAACTACGACACTCTTGTGTGGGCCCTGCAAAAGAATGGTTTCGGGAACTTACCCATTATAGTTGGAGAGATTGGATGGCCAACTGATGGTGACCGGAATGGTAACCTAGAATACGCGCGGCGCTTCAACCAAGGCTTCATGTCCCACATATCAGGCGGGAAAGGGACCCCCATGAGAGCCGGGCCTATTGATGCTTACCTGTTTAGCTTGATCGATGAGGACTCTAAGAGCATTGATCCGGGGAATTTCGAGCGCCATTGGGGGATATTCTATTATGACGGGCAGCCAAAATACCAGCTTAACCTTGGCACCACAAGTTCACAATCGCTGATTCCGGCGCAGGGTGTGGAGTATTTGGAAAAGAAGTGGTGTATAATGAAGTCTTCGGCGAAACTTGATAATCCACAAGTGGCCCCAACTGTGAGCTACGCTTGTGCGCTGGGAGATTGCACTAGCCTAGGCTACGGGACGTCCTGCGGAAACTTAGACGCTGAAGGGAACATATCGTTTGCATTCAACAGCTACTTCCAGAAAAATAATCAGCTAGACAGTGCTTGCAAGTTTTCAAACATCTCAACGATCACCAAGACAAATCCAACACCAGCAGGTGGGACTTGCAGATTTAGCATAATGATCAAACCCTATTATGGGGGCGCGGATAGGAGACTTGGCAGTCTCCAAAAGCTACCGGGTGTGGCTGCGAGGCTCGTTCTCTTGCTGCTGCTAACAGTTGTGTGAATTCTCATTTCAATAATCCAATGCCCATGTCAGGTGCCTACCATTTTTCCTGAAGAGGAAAGCAAAACTGGTTGTGTGAAATTGCATTACAATGTCAGGCCAAATTTTGCGGGTTAAGATGGGAAGAAGAAAACTTAAACTTATGTGGAATATGCATATTTGAAACTAGAAATATTTTGGCAATTTGTTTGAGTTATTTAGCTATGTTATTTTGAACTTTTGAAGAGCATGCCAATTACCATTCTTCTGAGAAAGCTTTCCAACAAGAGGAGGAAGTATTGTACCATTAATTGGCATAATGTAAAGCTTTCCAACAATGGGAGGAAGTGTACCTTTATTTTATTTTAATTTTTTTTGCAGGTTGGTTTTGGTATTTTAGTATTGTATCATTAATCGCTATAATGTTAATAACATTAACAGGTAGTAAAATTTATAAAACTATCGTTTTGAAATAAGCTGCTTTTTGTTCTGTTATGAGGACCAATGTTGCTATCCTAGGATATTCCACCACTTTTAGATTATTTGAAATTCAACGGATAATATAATGTTTTCATCATGTAAACATTTGAAATTTTACAAAGCAGTTGCGTAATATACGAAATGAATTGAATTTAAGTTTGAGGAAATTAAATATAACATTTTATTTTAAGTTATTATGCAATGGAAATATACCTTTATTGAACTTTAAAAATTTGGGGTTAATCTCATGATCTCTAGGATTTATTCTCAATCCTATTTTCGCTCTTGACTTTTAAAAGGTTTTTTAGCACAATTACGCATTGAACTTATCGTGTTTTATTAAATTACTTTCTAAACTTTTAATTTTAACAATTAACCTTCTAAACTTGTAAAATTGTTACAATTAGGTACATTTAAGTAACGATGTTAAACTTTGGATGGAAAATAATCATGTGCTACTCATGTGGCTCTTTTTAAAAGGCATTTATGATACTTTATATGCCCTCTATAAATAAAAACGTAGAATAATCTCAACCATCTATCTATTATTTTTTTAAATCTCAACCATCCATTCAAGGTTAAGAAAACCCTAGCAGCCACTTAATTTGCTTCTTCCTCCATTTTGCTCCAATGGTTGCCTTCTCCCTCCGACGAAGTGAATCCCAGACGATGCCCCACCAGCGACAGCCCCTCACTCGGGGGACAATTTGTTAAAGGACGACAAGTTCATGAGATAATTGTGTCAAAAAAAACCCTTTTAAAATGTCTCACGGTTAATCCGCAAGGTTTTATTCTGTTTTAGTTTAGGTCCTTTCGTTAACTAGGTGTTAAATATTTGATAGAGTGTGTGTAGATTAAAGACCAAAATTGAAAACGGTTAAAAATTAGAGATTGTTTGTGGAAATTAACTTTTATTTTTTATTTTGCTTTAGTCCCTAAACTTTAAATTTTGTTAATTTTGGTCCCTAATTTACATAGATTCCATCAAATATTCAACACTTAACTAATGAAAGGATGAAAAGTAAAATAAAGTAAAACCTCAAGGACTAGTTGTGAGACATTTTAAAAGTCAGAGACTAAAGTGGGGTTGAAGGTAAACTTATCAAATTAGTCCAAAAATGTTTTATCAATTGACTAATGATTAAAACTGCCGAAATAATTACAAACTAATGGTTGGTAAAAGTAGGGGGTTCACAGATTGAAATTTGCGGATTAGAGGTCAATCCACAAGCCAATGTGAAACTATCAGGTGGAAAAATCTCAATTCTTGTCCAATCCAATCAAAAACTTATCGGATTTTACAGATTGAATTCATAGATTCTACATATCATGACCTATAACGTTAAGAGAGATTGAGAGAAATATTAAAATTAATAGGCCAATATTTAAGAGAAGTTAATAAATAGGCCAGTGTGATGTAAATCCGGATTTTCAACCAGCTAAAATTTTAAAAATATAATTTTGGTAAATCTTAGATTTACCGTTTATATCTAAGATTTACTATTATATTTTTTCATTTTTTCCTACTAATATGAACTTGGCAAATCCTAGATTTACCAGGTATATCCTGTATTTATCATTAGAATTTAAAGTGTTCTTTTCCCCTAGTAATACGAACTTGGTAAATCTGGGATTTACCATTAGATTTTTCACTTTTTTCCTATTAATACGAACTTGGTAAATCCTGAATTTACTAGGTATATCCCGAATTTACCATTAGACTTTTCACTTTTTCCCTACTTATAAAAACTTAGTTAAAAAAGGATTTACCATGTATATCTGAGATTTATCATTAGATTTTTCTCCCTTTTTCTCGTAATACGAACTTAGTAAATCTGGGATTTACCAAGTATATATGTGATTTAATATTAAATTTTTCATTTTTCCTACTAATACGAACTTGGTAAATCCCGTAAATCTGGCATTTACTCCCATACTAATATGAACTTGATAAATCTGATATTTACCAGGTATATTTAGAATTTACCATTAGATTTTTCACATTTTCCGTACTAATACGAACTAGATAAATCCTAAATTTACTAGGTATATCTAAGATTTACCATTAGAATTTGTACATTTGTTCATAGTAAATGAACTTGGTAAGTCTTGAATTTACCATGTATATCCGAAATTTATTATTAGAATTTATGTTATTCTTTTTTAAGTGATTCTAACATAATAAATCCTAGATATATCTAGATTTACCAAAGGAAATGGAAAAATAACAAGAAAAGAGTAAAATAGAAAAATTAAAAATTAAAAATATGAAATGGTCTATTAATTTCTATAGATTGTTAAATTGGCCATTTACTTTCATAAATTTTAAATGTAGACCTATTTCCTACAATTTTTCTAAAATTAATAAGTATATTAAACATCATTATTTTCATCATTTATTAATATTACTTGAAAGTTCAAAGGTTGCAACATCTATAACCTAAATAACTATAGCATAAAATAAAATTATTTAACAATTCTATACATATGCATAGATTTTTTTCAAAAAAAATTAAAACTAAACTTATAAATATATATGTATGTTTCAGGTTTACGGATTTTACGGATTGAGAAATTCTCAATCCATAATTAATTTAAGAGTTTCAGATTAAAAAAATTTTAATTCATGTTTAATGTAAAACTTTTTTTAATCCAATTCAAAATTTACATTGAGTTGAGTTTTATGGATTAATTGAATTGACAGATTTTATGAACACTCCTAATAAAAATTAATTAGTCCAAACACAAACCTTTTTTTCTCTCGATACCTTCACTATCCTCACGTAGACGTTTAGTTCATGGATTAGAATCATGAGATTAGAACTATTTTTTATTTACGTGTATTTTTTGTGAGAGAAAATACTGTAGCGAACCATGAACCATGATTCAAATCATGGTATGAATCCCCTTACTAAATAAGAATAATAAGAATAATAAGATAAGACTAAAATGTGAAACAGAAGAAGTTCCTAAAATTTACTGAAGCCTCTAGATCGAACACGTTGGACTAACTAAGCTTTAACTCTAAGCCAATATCTACATTTTTCTACACATTTCGAAAGAAAGTTTACCGAGCTTATCAGAATTTTCAAGAACCTAGTGGGGTTATGTATACACACATATAAATATCATCTTGATCAACTTCTCATCCAGCCAAAAAAGAACCGAGTCAAGAAACAAACCACATTATAATTTTGCCACAGTAAGATTGTATGATCATCATGAGGAGTACTTCTCAATTTCTTTGGCCGATCATCTTCACCTTGAGCTTCATCGTGTGCCCATTAGGGTCGAACGCTTCCCTACTGCCCTTCCTTGACCGCACAGGTGATAAGGAAATTGAATTGTTTAAGTTTGAATTTCTTAGTTTTAGGGGGTATTAGTAAGTAATATATATATTGTATCATGATTCGAGGAGATTTGATATTCTCATCGATTGTAAAGTGTTGTAAGTATATATTTTAATAAATTTTTATCCTTATTATTAATGAAAAATTGGCGAAGCTATTTCTTGTCTCTAAATTTAGGTCTCTAACATCTCGTTTATTTCACCGATTCGAGTTTTTAATTCTAATTTTATTACAGTTTTAAGCTCTCATAAAAAATCACATTTAACCTTTTTTATTAGTAAAAAGCTCTCACATAAAATCACATCTAAACTCGAATTCACGAATTGAATGAGACTAATCTTGTTTACAATTTTTAGCAGGAAACTCGCTGGTAGATCTCTTTGACCGGTTTCCGGATCCTTTCCGAGTGCTAGAACAGGTACCGTTGGGCCTTGAGAAGGACGAGATACGTACAGCGCTCTCTTCGGCACGCGCGGACTGGAGGGAGACCCCGGAGGTCCACGTGATCACTCTCGACGTGCCAGGGCTGAAAAAAGAGGACATGAAGATAGAGGTGAAGGAGAACCGGATTACTGAGAGTAAGCGGGGAGAGAAAGAGTGAGAAAATGAGAAAAGATGACCACTGGCACCGCGCGGAGCGGTGCCATGGCAAGTTTTGGAGGCAGTTTAGGCTACCAGAGAATGTGGACTTGAATTCCATCAAGGCCAAATTGGAGAATGGGGTTCTCACTCTAACACTTTACAAGTTGTCACCTGATAAGATCAAGGGTCCTAGGGTGGTTAACATCGCCGGATCATCAGATAATCATGATCAACATGGCAACATCAACGTCAACGCTCGGGATCAGGCCAAGCAGGAGCTTTAAATTTTGTGATCACCAATCAATCAATCAATCACCCAAATCCCACCACTTCTTCTTGATTTTAATTCTCAGTGATGTATCCCATCTGTGCCAATCTACTCAAGTGACTAAGAATAAAAATAATGTATTATAAAAATAATGTCTATTATCTTGCATGTCTACTATAATATTAACCATGTGATGTGTTTCCTTTTTAAATACTCTGCTGCAAGTACTTTTTATACCTTTGAGAGTTTGAGACATCTCAATTAATACGCGAAAGACCAAGGTCTTAATGTCAAGAAATCTAACGGACAGGAAATAACAAAACTAATAAAATTATGGAAAAACTAGTAAATAAAATGAATCTCAGACCACCATTGGAGTCAAGTATATGGGTTAGGGTGCTTTTCATTTTTTTTATTTTTTTATTTTTTGATAATTGGGTGCTTTTCATTTTTCTCCGTTCAGAATAGCTTCAAGATTTAATACTCTAAAACTTAAATTTAAGGAAACGTTTGATTCATAAATTAGAATCATGAGATCAAAAATATTATAGTAAATCATGAACTATTATTCAAATCATGATATGAATCCACTTATCAAACGTCTTCTAAGAGTCCCTAGTCGGTCGTCAATGGATTGTGCAACAAGGAGCTTGTGGTGACTTGAATGAAATCAAGCCTTGAATACAGGTCTGGCCCTCTCTATTGGTAGCTTTAGATTTCTAAAGTAGACAAATGGGACGGGATTGTTGGTTTTGGTAAATATATAGATATATGTATATATGTAAGGCCCATTTAATTCGCTAATTCGAGTTGAGATGTGATTTTATGTGAGAGTTTTTTACTGTAGTAAAAAAGTTAGATGTGATTGTTTCTTAGAGCTTTTTACTGTAGTAAAACTCAAATTCTAAACTCAAATCGGTGAAATGAACGGGGCCGTAGATTTCAATTTGTGCAGCGAAATAGATTTCAATTTGCTCCTGTGATGTAGGCCTCGTTCACTTAACTGATTCGAGTTTTGCTATAGTAAAAAATTCTCAGAAATAATCACATCTAATGTTTTTGTTACAGTAAAAAACTCTCACATAAAGTCACATCTCAACTCAAATTTAAAACTCGAACCAGTGAACTAAACGGGCCCATAGTTTCATAGATTCTGTTAGGATTTTTAATCTTATGTGGCACAGATCCTTCTTACGTGGCATTTTGTGATTGACGTGGATTTATGCATTTTTATTGTCATCCTTGTATCAAATCAATCTAATAACGTATTGATGTTTTTACACATTGTCTCTTTATTTTGTTGATTGATTTTCCCATGATTTGTTTCTATAAATAGCCCGATGTGATAGGATACTTGCATATTTTATTGGCTGTCAACACATATTGACTTCTGGGCTAATATTTAGTTTCTTTGCAGGATAAAGTTGTCATTTATGTGAGATAATATTTTGATTTGCTGATCACAAATTTATCTATCTATTTTTGAATAAATTACTTGAAGAATCGAATTGTGTGTGATGATACTTGTGCATAATTGTGTCTAGGTTCATTGAGAATCATTTCAATCATTGATTGTGTTTTTTGCTTATTTCATTCAGGATTTTTCTGATCAATCTCGGATTTTGATTGAATCCATTTTTGTTAACAAATCATGAATTGTCTGTTTAAATTGTATTGACAGCTGTAGGTTTAGATATTCTATTCACACAGTGATAGTTAGATTTAATGAAGAGATTGCTATCAGCAGGTCACAATCATATCTCAACCTAGATCAAGTGGAGAGATTCTAGGTCTCTCTCATATCCGGATTTATTATTTAAGGAGATCTTATTCAGACCTTCATAAGGAGAGAGAGCACGGACAAAATTTGAGCGTTCATTTTGTGAGAGAAAATTGAGTGTTCTCCTTTGTGCTTAAGAGTGAGAGACATCCATAGCTTTTGTTAGGCTTCTTTTGTAACTCTCAAACCCTGTTGTTTGCGGACTTTTGTAAAGGATTCGGAGTAGGTCTGAGGAGGTGCGAAAGGCGGATCGTGGCGCTCGGAGTAAGTCAGGAGGATTGAAGGCGAGCAGTAGACTCAGAGTAAGGCGAGGAGTATGAAAGCGAGTCAAGGAGGAGTCACCTTGAGTTAGCAGTTGGTGTAGATTCGGGAGGTTTCTTGTAAATCTAAACTTTGTAACTGTTTTTGGTGACAGTGAAATCCTCTTTGTGATGGTGTGATCAGTACACGCGGTTTTTTTCTTGAAAGGGTTTTTAGTCATGTTAAATAACCATATCGTTGTGTTTATTTGATTATTCCATATTTTATTTAATGGACCAAGTGTATCACGTCATTTTACTCATGTGATATCCCGACTAATCAAAAGTTTACATTTGAATGCTTTGTCTATAAAAACTATTTGTAATTATCTCTCTCTCCTAGTGTTTTCTACATTAATTGCTTGCTCATAATTCTCACAAAATTCTCAACATGATTTCTTATATATTAATCAGTTTTACATTTATACAGTAATTCTTAAAAAAAAAAATTATCACACTTAATTTATTCAAGGAACACTTTTTTTTCCCTCCTGATGAGGGAATTCATTAAACCATGGAAAAAAAAAAAAAAAAAGAACAAGGGGCCAAAAATCCCCAGCAACGAAGCTCTTAAGAGAGGCTTAAATAACATGTTGTGACAGATTCAGTTCCCATGCATGTAGCTTCTTCCATTTCAGCCGATTTGGCTTAGTAATCCAAGTATTTTCTTTTATTAAAAAAAAAAAACCGCAATATCTATTGGAGAACTTAAATCTGACCAAGACAAAAAAAAAAAAAAAAAAAAAAAAGATACATTGCTATTTATTAGTTCTGTAGTAAAATAATTTAGAAAGAGATAATTAGAAGAAGCCCACAGTAGGGGAAAAAAAAAGAGACTTTTAGGGGCTAATCGTTTCTAAGGATTGGTTCTCAGTTTTTTTCTTTTTAAATTAAATACGTAATTTTAGCTCTAGTTTTTTTTTTTTTTTTCCAACTAGAAGTCATTTTTTTAAAATAAATTCCTCAAAAAAAAAAAATGCTCATCATAATTTGTTAGTTTTACAAATGAAATGAACGAGTATTTTGCTACAGGCAAGAAAAGCAAGTGTTTTAAATGTTCTCATTTTGTTTTTTTCTGATTGAATGTAATTTCTTGAATAGATTATGTGTATTTTCCGGAAAAAAAAATTACGTGTAGAAAATAAATCTCATAATATTATTTTGGTTAGACGTTTAAATTAATTAATATAAGAGTTTAAAATATTTATTATGACAACAATAACTATTAAGCAATAAATATTGAATACAATAGGAGAGAGAACTATAATTGAAAGGAGTTGATAAGAGTTTAAAATATATTTATTATGTCAACGTTTAATTAGTAAGGTGTATCACATAAGCGAAATGACGTGATACACCTAATTCATTGAATAATTTTTTTTAAAATCTCGTTCATTTCACCGATTTGAGTTTTTAATTCTAATTTTATTATAGTTAAAAGCTCTCACAAAAAGTCACATCTAACTTTTTTTAGTTACAGTTAAAAATTCTCACATAAAGTCACATCTCAGCTCGATTTACAAACTCGAATTAACAAACTGAACGATGCCTTACGGCATGTTTAGTTCGCTGATTTGAGTTTTTAATTCGAGTTGAGATGTGATTTTATGTGAGAACTTTTCACTGTAGTAAAAAAGTTAAATGTGACTATTTTTAAGAGTTTTTTACTGTAATAAAATTTAAATCGGTAAAATGAACGTGCTCTTAATATATTCGGACACCCCTCCATTTCTCTCTTCTCTCATAACCATCCATCCAAAATGACATGTCGTTTTTTTACCTAATTAATTGACTGACTCATTAACCCGAACAACTGTAAAGGCACCTCACCGCCCTTCCCACAATCGTGAACGTTGAATCAAAAGATAAAACGGCCTATAAAAAGTATGGTCCTCCTTTTTTAACGGAAGACCACAAAACAATCCTATCATCATTGCAAGACGCAAGTGATATACATACATACATACATATATATATATATATATATGAAAAATGAATAATTTTTATCCTATAAAAAATTGAGGCATGGTCCTCCTTTTTTTTTAATGAAAGACCACAACAGAGTTTTAACTCCATTATAATAAATAATGGAAGATCTATTTATGAAGCGTTGGACAACAGAGGTAAATGGACAAGATATATCCTTAGTTTTATTAAGGTTTTTTTTTTTTTTTTTTTTTTTTTTTTTTAAAGGAAGGGTTTTTTTTAAAAAAAAAAAAAAAATAACAAAAATAAATAAATAATGTTGGGATTTTTGGTTTGATAGCGATTGGCATTATGATGTGTTTAAGGAATATTGAGACTGATTTACTGCAAGTTTTATGTTTGGTAAGATTCGGGTTTGGTGAAATTCATCTATTACAAGGTTTCTTGTTTTGTGGAATCAATTATGGTTGATTGTAGTAACTTGAATGATGGTGGAACGTGATTAGGAAACTGAGATTTGCAGCAAACTTATAAAAAATTTGTTTCATTGAAGTCAACTTGTATGTGTTTTTGAAAAGTTGAATTTTGATGAGTTGTTTGATTAGCAAGGATGATTCTGCAATATTGTATAATAACGTCTAGGTTCATGAAGCCATCTGCAAGAATTATACTGCATTTATAAAAGTCTCACAATTGTCTCAGCACGTCTGAAGAGCCTTAAAATTTTAGAGAGTCGAATCATTTTGTAAAACACTTGTATTTTTATTTTTTCGGGGGAAGGGATTTAGGTTTTCGGGAGAAAATTGAATGTTGAAGGGATTTCAATTTCAAGTCGAAGGGAGCTCATTAAGCAAGTTTATTGAGTAGTTACAAGTTCATAGGTGTCATACTTAGAGGGTCTTGAGTTGATTAAGTCCATTTAAACTGTACCAGTATTTACTTAGTGGATTGTTCAAAAGTCTTGGTGTAGCCCCGCAGAGTAGGTGATTACTGAATCGCGATACCAACTTCATGTGTCTTTTTACTATTTCACGTGTTTCTTATATTTGTTGTAACAAATTAGCAACAAACTTGGTAAAGAAACTAAACCAGTACCGACAAATAATACTATTTTAGAAACAAACAATTATCTAAAGGTAATTGGATAAAATAAAAAATTAGGTAGAATAATTAAGGTGGTTTAGGCTCAACACTTAATGCAATGTACACTAACTAAGAGAAAGACTAGTATAAAAAGTTGATATAGAAAAGATGTTTATATTTTTAAGTGTATTACATAAATAAAATGGCGTGTTATCTTAGTCTACTGAATAATTTCTTACAAATTTGAGGTCTAAGCCGAAATTAAATGGGAAATTATTAGTTGGATTAAAGAAATTGGATTGGGTCGCACCAGTTGTCCAAAGGGGGAACTATTGACCCACAATCCCAATTGGTCAGTTTGGGCTGCTACACGAATTTTAGATATTTAATTAGAGAAAATCTAAAAAGTACTCCCTGAATTTTAGCTTAAATCAACATTTATCCCTGTGTTTTTGATAATTCAAAAAGTATCCTTTAGGTTTTTAGATTGTCCTAAATTTATCTCCTACGTTTTTCAAAAAAGTAAAAAATTACCTTTTCATTTACCAAAATTTTGGAAACACCAAAAATAACCTCAATAAGTATTATATTTAGACATTGTTCATTTCATAACTTAAGTCATATTGCTACAGTGTTTTCTTTCACATAAATTCAAATTCAACTTTTTTGCCACAATAATTTTGTTGGTTTTCAAAACGATTTCGGATGCGGAAGCATGTATCTAGCAGATCATGCATAACAAAAATTTTCATAAAATTTTTGAGATACTCTATAGAATATATTAATTTAAATATTATTCTCTCGTATATAACTCTTATATACAATATTTAAGGTCACATAATCATGATATTTACAAAATATCTAATAATATATACACATAAATAATAAAATTTCTCTTTTAATATATAAATAATAATATCATTTATTACATCTCATGCTTTTATGACACTATTCCCATTAATTTTTCTCTCACATATGCAACTCAAATCATGACTTGAGTTGTGCAAATGAACACACTCTTAGATTCTTTTTAGACATTAATTATGTAAAACTTTTAAAACATAATTTTCAAAACTAAATAAAATCAAGAAAATAAAAAAGTCAACGTGTTCGAATGACTGTTGGGCAATATTAATATGAGGACGCGACCGATTTGACAAGTCTAATTCCACCAATTATATATCAATAGTGAGGGTGTAAGATTTTGTGTGGAACTAGACCAATTTGATCAACTAATTTAAAAACCTACAGAATGCTTTTTAGATTATAAAAATATAAGAGTAAATGTTAGATTTACTTAAAATGAAGGGGTTACTTTTTGAATTTTCTCGTTTAATTACTTTAATAATTAAGGGCTTATTCTTTTAGAGTGTGATTTGAGTGTAATTTTTAAGTTGAATTGGAGTTATAACTTGAGTTGAAGTTGTAACTTGAGTTTGTGTTTGGTTGTGTACATTTGAGTTATGGTTTGAGATAATAATCTTTTTGAGTTTGTGTTTGAGTGAGTCAAAACTTGAATTTGTATTTAGATAATATTTTAATAAAAACTCAATGGTGATGGAAAATTTTAATAGGGTATATGGGTGGGATTTTATTCGTCTTTTCATTGTCAACGCATAGAAAAAAAATCATCTCAATCAGGATTAAAACGAAAAAGTTATGTAGCATTTTTAAAAATAGAAAAAATACTGTTAATTAATTTGAGTTTGAGTTTCTGAACTCGAGTTAAAAAGAAAATTTGAACTCGAGTTTTAATCCCAAACTTGAATTCAAACTTAAAAAAATGTGAACTTAATAAAATTAAAACTCAAATTATTTTTTTATTATTATTATTTTTTTTTATGTTTTTGAGGCTGCCGAACGCACTCTAAATTCCACCGAAAACTGTCCCAGCAGTTTCCAACTTCACTTGATTTTCATTATGAAGTTCTGATTTGATTGCGATTAAGTATAAATCCTTTCTAAAAGTAGGGAACTTGCTATCTTTCGTAATACGTACGTGAGATAAAATTCATATGTCAAAGGATTTGACAGCATATTTACTTACAAATAAAGGAAGTCGATAAGAATGGTAGCAGATATAAATGGAAATGTCATGGCTGGATTTGGAGTAGCGATTCGGAATTATATTAAATTTTGTTTATTTTACTAATTTAAATTTAAATTTTAAATTTTTTTACAGTAAAAATAATATTAAAAATTAAAATAAAATATTTTATCTCAATAAATAATAGATTATATACTTGACATAATCAAGTTAGTAATACTCAAAATTTATTTTAATGTAGGAAAAATGAAGTAATAAATATAGGTCGTAATAATGTTTTTTTTTTTTTTTTTTTTTTTTTTTTTTTTTTTTTTTTCCAAAAATTTTTTTTTTTTTTTTTTTTGTATTTCTAGTTTTATCCAAAAAATTTGTAAGTAAACAAGGGTTAAATAGTAATTTAATATTACCGGCATAAAGAGTCTGAATTTTGTGGAGGCATGGCCATCGCCATTGCTTAATCTCAAATTTATATAAAATCAAGGCAATACTACTATTTTAAGATAAAATAGGGGCAAATAAGCTAAAAATAAGATTGATTCTAATTCCCACAAATGATAAATAAGCATGACACCCGAGTTCTTGCTAACATTTTGATTTTATTGTTTTGGGTTAATCATACTCAGTGAAGTTTATTCTCAATTCAACTTTAATTTTCAACTTTTAAAATGTCTTATAGTTGGTTCTGAAATTTTATTCTATTTTAGTTTTGCTCCTTTTATTAGTCAGGTGTTAAGATATTTGACATAATATGTAGAAATTGATGATTAAAATTAGAAAAATCTAAAGTTTAGGAACTAAAATAATACAAAAAACAAAATTAACTCATAGAGATAGTCTCTAAATTTTAGGTGTCTTTAATTTTGGTCTCTAATTTACATTCTGTTAAATATTTGACACTTAATTAAGGCTATTTTTTCTAACAACTTGGATAAGAAAATAAATACAAATGAGATTATTGATTTCTAAGATTTTCTGTTGAGAATAGAAAAGTTGACTATAAAACTTTATCAATTAACTCAATATATAAAGGTTAAACGTTTTAATCGTGCAAAATCTTCCATTATTACAACCAGTTAATCAACTTAATTTTGAATAAAACAAATCAAAATTTTATTGCCAAAAAATCTCTTTGGATGCAAATCATACCAGACCCAATAAGGAAACTTAATATCAAATTAACATATATCTGACAAGCTCATTTTCAATAAATCAGCTGATTTATAATGTAAATCATTTGAAAATCAACTAACACTCCGTTTATTTTACCGATTCGAGTTTTATTACAGTAAATTTTTTTTTAAAATAGTCACATCTAACTTTTCTGTTACAGTAAAAAATTTTAACATAAAATCACATCTCAATTCGAATTAAAAACTCGAATTCACAAACTAAACTGGTCTTAAATATCAAATTGGCATATCTTTAACAAATTGGGATGTCTTTAATAGCTGAAAATATCTCTCAGACATAAGATATATTAGACAGAATAAGGAAAATTTCGATTTTCGATAGCTGAATATCAAGTTGGAATATCTTTGACGAAACACAACAAATAATAAATTTAATGAGTGTGTTATTTAAATCTACCGATTAAATAAAGAATTTACGTAGTAAATAACAGTACTAGTAGTTCATGGCGATTTTCTTTATAAAAAAAAAAAAAGAAAAAAAAGAAAAAGAAAAAAAAAGGGGTGTGACTTGTGAGGGTGGGGTCACGTGGAGAGATGGGGTGGGAGGGGAAGGTCACGTGGACATAACGCAATAGAGACACTGGAGTTCTGTCCGAGAAAGCAACACGCAAGACTTTTCTTTTTTCTCCTCACCGTATTAATAAAAAAAAAAAAGAAAAAAAAGAAAACGAGAAATAGAAACAAAAAAATAAAAATTAAAAAAAGGAAAGAAGAAGAAAAAAAGAAGAGAAGGAAAATGTGTGAACGAAGACCAGAAGACTTAGGAGACTAAGAAGAAGAAGAAGAAGAAAAATCCCTTCAAATCTCTCTTTCAATTACTGCGATTTCGTTAGGGTTTGATCTCTTCACTTTCTCAATCTTCAACTGATTTCAACTCTCAAAGCCCTAATATCCCTATTGAATCGCCATTTCCACCGAGGTCCGTTTTGCTTTAATCCGATCGGATCCTTTTTCTCTTCATTGTTTGTTTATTTAATTTTATTTTCGTAGTTAGGTTTTTAATGGTGTAGATTTGGTTTCTAATTTTGTTTTCATGGTTGGTAGATATTATTCATGCTTTTTTAGGTTTTTGTTTGTTTGTTTTGGGTTTCGTTCATTTTAATGATTATGCGGTATATTTTCTTTCTTTCGTTTTGTTATGCTTTCAAAATGAAATTGGTAATCTTGTTGATGTTATTCTATCGAATAAGTGACAAAGACGTTGAATTTGTGGAATTTCATGTACAATTTCCTAAAATTAGTTTATATTTTATGTAAAAAAGAGAAATGAAATCGAGATTAAGTCTCAGAAGTTCAGTATGATTATGAAAGTGGGGGAAATGCTCAAATTTTTTGGTGGATATATATGTATACACACATATATATATATATATATATATATTCGCAGTGTAATTTTGGTGGCTAATTTGTTTGTTTTATTTAGTAATGATTTTGGTGAATAATATTGTTTTAGCATCTTTGTCGTTTATTTGGTTCTTTTTTTTAAGCGATAATTTTGGTGGATAATATGTTTGTTTATTCTGTCAAATTTTGTAGAGTTGTAAGATTTGTGATGCTGAAGAAATAAGGAATCTCGAAGGTCTCGTTGAACAGAAAAAGGTAGAAAAATGTTGGAGGGTCAGGGTGGTCCAAAGTTCACTGGAATTATTGGCCTAAATAACCATGAAAACAATTATTGTGATATGTCCCAAGCTCAAGGGTTGTATTATAAGCTTGGAGAGGGCACCAACATGTCCATTGACAGTTTTGCAAGCTTGCAAACAACCAACGATGGGGGATCGGTTGCGATGTCTATCGATAACAGCAGTGTGGGCTCGAATACAAATGATTCCCACACTCGCATCTTGAACCATCAAGGGTTAAAACGGCGCGCGAATGACAACTACTCCGTGTCCGTGCAACAGAGTGTTAATCGTCGAGGCAGAGTCATGCATGTTCTGAGTGATGATGCGCTTGCTCGAGCTCTAATGGATAACAGCTCCTTGACGGAAGGACTTGAAAATTATGAGGAGTGGACGATTGATTTAAGGAAGCTAAATATGGGGGAGGCTTTTGCGCAGGGCGCTTTTGGGAAACTCTATAGAGGTACTTACAAGGGTGAGGACGTTGCCATCAAAATCTTGGAGAGGCCAGAAAACGACCTGGAAAGAGCTCAGCTCATGGAACAACAATTTCAGCAGGAAAAAACAGCAGGAAGTCAAGATGCTCGCTACTCTCAAGCATCCAAATATTGTTCGTTTTATTGGGGCCTGTCGTAAACCGATGGTCTGGTGCATAGTGACCGAGTACGCTAAGGGCGGTTCGGTTCGCCAGTTCTTGATGAAGCGCCAAAGCCGCTCTGTCCCGTTGAAATTGGCTGTCAAGCAAGCTTTGGATGTTGCAAGAGGAATGGCATATGTCCATGCGCTGGGGTTGATCCACCGTGACCTCAAGTCGGACAATCTTTTGATTTTCTCTGATAAATCAATAAAGATTGCTGATTTTGGGGTTGCCCGGATCGAAGTGCAGACGGAAGGAATGACACCAGAGACTGGGACATATCGCTGGATGGCTCCGTAAGTCTTTTTGACTCTTTACCTGCAACAAGATATTTTGACAAATTTAAATTTTTGGCAAATCCATTTTATTGTCCGTATCATTTTCACTGTCTGTTTTTTGCTTGGCTTGTTTAACTTCTTGTTTTCTTCCTATGTCTTAATAAGTTTTTGTGTTTTGCAAAATTGATTCTTGTTGGCACCAATTCTTGTCTGAGTTTGTAAGGTCCATTCTTATTTGATTTGCAGGTGTAAATGCATTATAGATTTAGATTACTGGCATTCTTCATGTATTCTAGTTGTTTGCTTAAATGTTACTTGCCCAGACACATCTGGAGCTCTTTCTAGTTTGAGATGAGAAATAGTCCCCGTAATCATCTAATGAGTGGTCCAGTTGAATACGCATCTTAGTTCATTTTGCTTATAGTGTTTTAGAATCTCTTGGCATCGAACAACTCATTGTTTTTATTCTTTTTGTTGTTTGTAGTATGCAGCTTGTCCTGGTATTATTAGTTTCTTATTCTAATTATACTAGAACCAATGAATTTTTCGGCATGATGTGAAAACCCGTTTGTTCAAACAACTAAAAGATATTATGTTTTGTCTTTTATCTGTAAGAACATGACATAGACCAATATCTGTTTCATGGAAGTTTTACATGTACCGGTTTTCTTGTTCCGTATGATTTATGATATCTTAAGGCAATTAGTGGTGTTATGGTGATTTTCATATTCTTTGATATCATATTACTTGATGTGTGAATCAGATGTTAGTCTCTGTGTATCTATAGATTAACGAGTTTGGATGCATTTTAAGGGGCTTTTTACGGTTTATGCTTGAGGTTCCGACTCCTTGCAATATGAGGCTTGGGTTAGATTCATTGTATTATGTCGTGATTGATTCATGTGTAGGCTTCCTTTTCTTCAGTTATTTGAACTCTCTTACGTCTTTATATGGCACAAATTTCTTTCTAAGGGGTATCAAAATGAGTTAATTGTATGCTCTTGGTTTAGCAAAGTATTGGTAAACAGGCAGACATAGGATTAATCATAAGATCTATTTAGTCGAAACAATCCATGTTCCTAGCTGTACAGAGTGATAAATTATATCTGAATCGTACACAAGTGATTTAAAATCATACTCATCACTGTATTTTGCATGTGTCTGCAGTCTTTTTCTTTGAAAGGTTTGGTGGTTAAGCTTGTTTGTGCAGTCTCTCTATGATAACTTGTGCAACTTTTTCGTTTAATGATGACAAACTTTCCGATGTGGTGATTTCTTTTCTTTTTTTTTTTTCCTTTTTTCTTTTGGGAAAAAAATTGGGCTCTGCAGTGAGATGATCCAACACAGGCCTTACACACAGAAAGTCGATGTTTATAGCTTTGGAATAGTTCTTTGGGAGCTTATTACCGGGATGCTACCGTTTCAGAACATGACAGCGGTGCAGGCAGCATTTGCAGTTGTGAACAAGGGCGTGCGTCCTATTGTCCCAAATGATTGCTTACCTGTTCTCGGCGAGATAATGACCCGATGCTGGGATGCCAATCCGGATGTCAGACCACCCTTCACTGAGGTTGTGAGAATGCTCGAGAATGCAGAGACAGAGATCATGACTACTGTGCGCAAGGCTCGTTTCAGGTGTTGCATGACCCAACCAATGACAGCAGATTGACTGCCCGACCCCGAGGAAGGGTCGAAAAACACAAGTTGCTGACTGCATGAGAAAACGAGCAGAGTGAAGTTCCTGTTAGTGTGTTTGTCAACATATAAAGTTCGACCTTTTGAATTGGATTGAGGCAGCGTAATATTGTTATTTGTTCAGTGCTGTAGAGCATTGGAAATGACGGTGGAATCGCTGAAAGAACTAGAAAGAAACTGTTTGACATGATTGGATGAAAGTAAAACCGCTAAACCCAGATGAATATATACAAGATTTATTAGGTATTGAGAAAGCTTATTTTAAAAAATAATAAAAAAAAATACTGCAACTAGAGTATTATCTAAGAGCATTTCTTCTAGTACAAGGGTTATTGCTAATAGTTTTTTTTTTTTTTTTTTTTTTTTTTTTTTTTTTTTTTTTTTGGGCTTACAATGTGTTATATTTAATGTGCTTTTCATGTCATGCTATATAATATATATATATATTTTTTGATAATCATGTTATGCTATATTTAATCGACTATTGCTACACGCTAAGTAAAAGGTTTTATAAACGCCGGTGTTATTATGCTTTCAATCTTGTCCCGCTGGCTGGGTCTTAAGTAGAAAAAAGGATGGATAGAGGTGCGTCTATAACCCGAGTGACAAGTACCAAAATGACCTTCCTCTTATTATGTTTGGTGTAAATTGCTTTTCTCAATATTCCATGTGGGATCGAAATTGGTTTCATGAATGTTCCTCGTCCAATTCACTCCACCTTCTATTCTTTTTTACCAAATAACAAATAAAGTTGGTGTGGTAAGAGAAATAAAGAAGATAGTGAAGAAACTAAGGATGTGTTTGGAGTTGTTTTCGTTTTTATTTTTCACGTTTTTTTAGAAAGAAAAAATGAAAACGGAAGGGAAACGACGTTTGGCACAATTAAAGACAATGAACGGAAATGAAAATGGTTTCTTGGTTTAGTGTAAATGGAAGAGAAATGAAAAATGACTTTTAATCGTTTTTTTATTTTTTGTTTCCGTTTTCTCTTCTCTCGAGTATAGAGAGACATTATTGAATTTTTTTATACTGAAAATAATATCTTGAAATAACTATCAAACGCATTTTCAAAAATGATTTCTGTCTAAGATTGAAAGCGTTTTCATTTTTATTTTCATACAAAAAATAAAATTATTTTAGAACGAGTTCTAAACGCACCTTAAATGGGGATTAATGAGCCTTTCTTTTAACCATATCTTCAATATCAAATAATAGTAATAAAAAACAACAAAAGCACCGGATTGCACAATCCTAGAATAGATTTAAAAAAAAAAAAAAAAGAATTGGGAGCCTCAATAGGCAAAATCTAGTTTTCAAAACTCATAGGTATTTAGAACAATCACAAGCACATTAATTGAAGCATAACCATAGATTATCACTAAAACGAAAAAATGTTTTTTAAGTTTAGATGTCATCGAAGCCGAACTTGTAGAAGCCTTTCTAGATCAAGAAGAGGGTTGCGGGGTAGTGAATAGGGGAACTGGTGGAGAATGTTGGGCCCTCACCCGATCTATTTCCTCCTCAAATCACTCCATCAATCAACCATAAACCTTAAAATTCATCTATTAAATCCTCATATCAATCCCTCTTTTCCCCTTTCC